GGGTGGAGGTGAGTCTTGGTGAACCAGGGCTGCATCAACTTGATCAAGTATTTCACACACACACAAAAAAAAGGTTTGGAATAATTGTATCGCGACACGGTGGAATAAGGCACTCTTCTGTTTTTGGGCATGGAGCTGTTAGTATGATCTTAAACTTAAAGGTTGTTCATTTGTCTTGCATTTAGCTAAAAAACATATACCAGTCCAATTTGAATAGAAGTCGAGATGTTTGCAATTGAAGGGGGAGGGGGGTCGCCTGGTGTCAAAGGTAAAATTAACTAAAAAATGGCCACCAAAGTTTGATGACTTCCAAGGCTTGAGTGCCCCTGGCAAATGGAAGTTTACATTTTTTTGTGTCTTTGATCAACGTTTTTCAGTAAAATCCAGCGCGCTCATATGACCTTAGCAGTTGCGAGCGCCGTAAAACCTTATACTACTACTACTACTAGTAAAATCCACTCAGAAATGTGTTTTAAAATTAACATAAAGGTGTTAAGCCCCCAAAACACGAAAAAAATTAAAAATTGCCCAACGACCAGAAAAATGCTGGATTCTTTCATTTCATTATTTTGGCAAGCGCCTGAATTCACCAAACTGCCTCACATTTTATAAAAGTACAACTTTAAAATCACATGTAAAACTTATCAACAGATGCCACCAGAAGCTGTCAAGAGCTTGAGCCATAGCTATGGTCCCATAAGAAGTGAAAAATATAAAAATACAAAGCAATAACGCTACAAAAAATGTGCTTGGAAGAAAAATGCGCATGTTACTCTACTCTAACACTTAACTTTGATGTGTAGGGGTCACAATATATATATGTGAGGCATTGTGGTGAAATCAGTTGCTGGTCAAAATAATAAAATCAAAGAAATCCGCATTTTATGGCCAGTGGGCAAATTTTTTCCAATTTTCTTCTTTTTTTTTTACTCAGCACCTTTTATTTGATTAAAGGCTCAAAAAATGTAAATTTTCAGTTTCTGAACTTTGGTGGCCTTTTTCTCACTAATTTTTACCTCTGAAATCAGGCGACCCTGACCTCATTCAATCGCAAATACGTGTATTTCGACATCTATTCAACATAGATGGATGGGTTTTTTTAACCAAAAGGAAGGAAAATGAACAGGCTTTAAGATGATACCAATAACCCCACATGCCCAAAAACTGACAAAGGCCTGATTCCACCACGTTGTGACATATTGTCCTGTGGGATGTGAGTTGGAGACCCCTGCCATGCATGCTTTAATAGACATTTTTTTTCAAGAAATTTACAGTTTTGTAAAAAATTAATATTATCTACTTGTCAAAGGAAACACAAAATGTGTGCTGGTGAAAGTGTGAAGTTTGTTGAACTTGAACCCTCTCCTCTTCCACCTTCCCTTCACCCTTCCACCTTCCATCCCTCTCTTTTACAGAAGGTGAAGATAAAATTTCAATGGATTTTTTTAAAAATTTCTTTCAGATACCGAATGGCAAATGAAGGCGCCCTCTTCGTGTTTCTGCCAAAGGGAAGTGCAAGCAGCTTGTTTCAATCCTCTAGGGGTAAGCACCGATAGCACCAGGTTATTACCCTGGAGCTTAATCTCAACTGATAATTTATTATTTTTCTATTATTAGAGGGGGAGGGGGGTGTCACCTTTCAACATTGTAGCCTACTACTTGCACCCAATAGCTTATTTGAAGGGCAGAGCACTCGTTCTACAGTAAAGGGAAAGGTTGGTGAGTAATTATTGGAAAACCGAGTAGAGAAGTGATTTGTTGGGTGCTCCAATGCGAACCTTTAATTTTATATGATTTTCATATTACAGGTCCGTTTGGAAATTTTTAAAGCTGTTTTCTGTACTGCATGCAGAAGATAAGACCTCTGCCAAGTAAAATTCTGCAACATCACTAGGATTTAAAATTCAATTATAAATTTGAAAACAAATTTTGTTAAATGTTTTGCGGCGCTCACAATTGCATAAGGTCATATGAGTGCGCGGGACACACCCAACATTTTCAGTTAGTAGGAAATTTTGAATTTTGTCCGGGTGGCAGCCGAAGCCTACTCCTATCGATTTTGGACTACCAATGACCAAGGGATCTTTTAACATGTGCAACTTCCGAGATTTTCCGTGCTTATCCAAGAAGGTTAGGTGTTGATTTTTCCTACCATGAGATCAAAGGTGTGGCTGAAAGACAGCAGTAAGAAGGAGCCAAGGAGTAGCAGTAGAAAGGCTGCAGAAAGAGTCAGGAGTCCAGAGGAGGTGGCAAAAGAGGTGAGGGGATGGGGGCTGAAAGTGGAGACAAAAGCAGACAAAAGAAAATTTCTAGAGTGTAGGAAAGGATGTGAAAGAATATTTCGGTGACTATCCAGATTCGAACCCGCGACCTAGTGAATGAGAGGCGAACACCTTAACCTCTAGGCCACGAGAGCCCCCTAACGACTACTGAGCTGTATACGCCTGCTCAGCGCCATATTTTTACGTAGTCGGACGGAATCGCGCTGACCTATGGTATCACCACTTCTGAACTAGCTGCTCGTCTGTTTCCCGGTGCTCTTCAGTTGTGCTTGGCCGTATATTTTCAGCCTAAGAAGGCGCCAAGGAGAAGCGGTAGATAGGCTACAGAAAGAATCAGGAGCTTAAAGGAAGTGAAGGGGTGGGGGCAGAGAGTGGAGACGAAAGTAGACGACAGAACATTGTTAGAGAGCATGAAAAGATGTGAAAGGAGAAAATTTGAGATAAGAAAATTTTCCGTCGCTACCGGGATTTGTACCCGCGACATTTTGAATAAGAGGTGAACATCTTAACCTCTAGGCCACGAGAGCCCCCCTAATTATATTTTATTTACTTTTTGATAAGCTTTCCATTATACTCAGACAATAGAGCATGATGTGTTCAAGCCAATCACTTGTACGAATGAATACTTCTTACTTGCCCCCTTTGCATTTTTTTTACATTATAGTATACTTAAACAGCTGGCTGATGATGTGTCACGACGTGGTGGAATCAGGCGCTTGTCACGTTTTAGGCATATGGAGTTACAGGTAGCATCTTAAAGTTCTCAGACAAAGACGAAAAATCTCGGAGGGCCCGTGTGCAAGTTGCGCACGTTTAAGATCCCTTGGTGGTCTAAAATCAATAAGAGTAGTCTTCGAACAAGGGACCTTTGAATGAGAGGCCAACACCTTAACCTCCAGGCCACGAGAGCCCCCGATTTTGATTTGTGGACTACACTGTAGTTGCTCGTTCCGTTTGGCTTGCGAAGCTGTTTTCAGACTCATGAACATAAGTTTAAAAAATAGCCAATTTTCGCTTGGGGGAGGGGGGGTGGGTGCTTTGACTTTTCCTGGTTTGACTGTGTATCATCATAAATGGATTTACAAAACTATCAGTGGCGATAGGAGTGGCTAGGTTAAAATTTGCTTTTATGTTTTAGTGTTGAAAGGGGGGGGGGGGGGGAATTCATCCTGTTGACCTTTCGTAGGTGATGAAAATTATAGGGTTGAAGTTGAGAGACTGGAACTATTTTGTCCATTTTTTGAAGAGCAAATGAACTGATAATAAATTGTTTTGTAGTAAAATTGCGTTATAATTGATATTATTATTATTATCACAGAGCTTGCTGTATTGACTGTGGATGGTTGGTGGGTGCTGTGGTGTGGTTTGCTCCTTCTTTCCTATCAAACCTCTCTCATCCTTATCTCCCCTACTTCTTTTTTGTGTATGTTACTCTCTTGTATCAACACATAATCTTTTCTTCGGGGTTTATACGACCTTATTGTCTTGCAAGTGCCGTAAAACTCTTATGTGAACTAAAACTGCTGTATTGGCTTTCCAAGTTGAAGACGTATTTGTCAGCCTTTCATCATTGTCAATTAAAAGAAACAAACTACACATTGTTTTATTAATTGAAATGAAAAAACAAGAAATGCCTTACTCCCACAATCATGCAGTGTTTATATGTCGTAGATCTGTAATAATTCTAAGTGAACCGTCAGATTTTGGTACTGTTGATATAGGTGATACACATGTTGGTTTAGAGTCACATTTCTGAATGCATTTGCTATCTAAGAGCCTTGGAATTTCTTCCTTTAAAAACAATAATTCCTGGTCATTAAATGTTTTATTGCGTTCTTCAAATGGGATAGGCTTGCTTTTAAGCCAAAGGGGCACACCATTCCTAATCCATGAGTGCACACAAGAATTTTCTGTTATATTTTCCCATTCCTGATACAAACTAGTCAAAGAGCCTCCAATAAAATTAGCCATTCAATGCACACACATTTTACCCATTGTCATGATCAGTAGCGTTCACTACACACAACAAGCAGGCTTACTAGTTTGACTTAAGATAAGCCTAACACGGCTAATTTTCATCGGTCTGTACAGCAGAGTAAGGAAGAAGGAGGTCGGTTTGATGTCATCCACTCCGAACTGAAGCCACGCCCCCTGAATTGTTGACGGAACGATCTGCCTCTCTGGAAGCCATGGCCTCGCTGACCTCGTGATCTGTCGGTTCTACTACTTGCTCTTTCCCTTGAAATTGCCATGTCAGCAGCGATCCGCAGATTATATAGCGATGACTCATTGAACGCTGATGTGTGATTTTCAAACGACCTGAATTAGCGTGCCATTTCCTCCGAGAATGTATTTTTGACTACTAACGCAGAATACTCCTTTTGTACGAACTGTTGTTGAGCAGAGAAGATGGTAAACAACACTCCCATGTCTGCCTCCGACAATGAATAATGGTCACCATCCTGTTGTGTGCACAACACTGAAAGGTGTCGAAGCCCAGTCTCAGAAAAACGTGCTGTTTTGGATATAACTTTCAGAGTAGACTTTGACTCTTGTTTAATGCCAGATGACGACTCGTTGAGTCTGAGATGGGAGGGTAGAGATATCTTAGATAATCGTTCTTTGATATTCTCGAACTCCCGTTGTAAATCTAATTCAGAGCGGGGGGGAGACACTGGCCTCATGCGGGTCAGTGGGGCCGCTCGGATTGTTCTGGCTATCACTGGCAGTAGATTTAGATCCAGTAACGGTAGATCTACTAGGCCCAGGGCCTGCTATGTTATCGTTTTCACCTTGTTCATTCACTATCGGTCGTGCTTCTAAGGCACTAAGACGTTCCTGAACGGAAGTTAGTGCACTGAGAATTTCTTTTGAGTCCATAAGATAATTTAAAACAGTCGAAAAGTTTGAGAAAATGGAGAATTCACTAAGCTCACAAGCCAAACACGTCCACTCGTGGAGTTACACAAAGCGGAAGCTGACCTCATACATAAATTATGTATGAAGGTCAGGAATGGTTATGATTCCGTACACACTGGCGTGACTAAACATTTGTTTGCTCTATTCCATGCCAGGACGCATCCCTCCTGTCTCGAGCCGGATGACAGGACCGTATGGTAGCAAGTCTGTTGGACAAAGCCTGCACAACCCAAATGTCTTCCCTCGTGTGAACGACAGTAGGAGAGGTCAACTGAACCCTACCTTTGACTTTGACAGTGGGAGAGATAAACTGTACTGATCTGCCGTGGATAGTGGGAGAGATAAACTACTATACCGATCTGCCGTGGATAGTAGGAGAGATAAACTACTATACCGATCTGCCATGGATAGTGGGAGAGATAAAGTACTATACCGATCTGCCGTGGATGGTGGGAGAGATAAACTAAACCTATCTGCCTTGGTGGATAGTCAGAGAGATAAACAGAAGTCAAATAAACCGGTCGTGCAACATATGATGGACAGTCGCAGACCTAAGCAGTTGTCAAATAAATCGCCCTACCGTATGTTTATGGAGCAATACTTAGATGACCGTGGTTATGATCCGTCATATATCGCATTTTAAATCATGTCTTGCTTAATTATTTTATTTATGGGTTTGTAAGTTTGTTTTGGGTATTTTTTTTTTCTCTCTGTCAAATTTGGTAGAGTAATTTTATCACACTAAAAAATGATAATACATTCTCAGCTTGCATATTATGGTGTGGTGGTTAGGCTCTTTGCTGTTGTACATAGATGTCACTTCCAATTACGAAGAAAGGAAGTTGTTGGGGGGTTTTTTTCATTTTAAATCCCCCCCCCCCCTCCCCTGAAAAAAAAATTGACACCTTCAAGATCCTTCCTCGACTATACCTGTCTTTAGGGTTGCTACGGCCTGAGACTACTTTGAAGGGTACGGCATTTCAGCAGAGAGACAAAGATATCCAATTAATTAAAGGTACTTTCCCATAGGAGGAGAGTCAAACTTGCATCTTATGAGGTCCATTTCATACATATTTTATTATCATGTCCATGATCGAAAGCATTTTGCTGTTCTGTATTTGCTGCTGAGCTGGAAACTGAACCGTGCATGACAATTAAAGAAAATCTGTGGGTCCCGCAGATTTCAGTTCAAGCGAATTCCATGTATTTTGGTGGTAAACGCCACCATCAGTAAAAATCGTAAACGAGTTGATGTGCATATATCTGTCTGCCCCGCTCAATATCAGTCATAAGACGCACTGTACTATTTTCCGCTACGAGGCTCGAAAGACAAAAAAGTGACTTTCCATGAAATTTTTTATTTTTTGATATATTGAAAGTTTGATGTCTTCTGCTTCACATAAGATGAAAATAACTTTAATCGACTATATTTTATTTTGGAGGTGTGTGTGGTTTGTTGTGAGCTTGGGTGACGAGATTAAGGAATTTGGACCTTTCTTGTGTGTAGCTGTGAGATTATTTTTAAAACCATTACCTCATGGCCACCTTTGCTTCAACCAAAGATTCTCCAACGTTCTTCATTCGCAACTATGTTTAGATTTTGACCCCTTTTCGAGGAACTTCTAGCTCACTTCAAGCTTGTTTACATAAACAGCTGACTGTGTGGGCGTGCCCTGTTAGCTGCTATCGTCTGTTGATCTTTCAGTTTTACACTTGGATTGACTTTAAAAATTCGTTAAAAGATTACTTAACCTTCCTCTAGATCTCTCAGAGCGGACTCCTTACTAAGAGGCCACCGAGGCGGTCTATGTGTATGTGTGTGTATGTGTGCTGGTGTGTTTGTGTGTGTGTGGGTGTGTGCTTTCGTGTGTTTATGGTGCAATTGCAAACGTATAATCAGGTAGCGTACACACGGCATGTAAGCCGACTCGCGGCCTTCCGAGCGCGTTTTCGGTGAAATGGGGGTAATTCAGATCTCCGTTTCTTTGCTCTTTTGCTATAAAACGCCAAATGCTGAACACTGAAAAGGTTCAGATTTTCTTCGTGATAATACTGTAAGTTGTTTGTATATCCAGGTATTTGGAGCTGGAGAATCGCCGTGGAAAAGGAAGCCCTTCACTGTCGGAATGAGAGGTCCCCCGGTTTAAATTGACACCCATGCATTCGAATGCTTTGCAAAAAGATTGATGATTAAATATCGTCTTTTCATTGGCGGAGAACTATACAGCTTTGAGTGTGGTTTCCCGTGGTTATTATTTTTGGCCTTTGGCGTTTAGAAAGAAAACTTTTGAAAAAAAGGGTCTAAATTTTCAAAGATCATTTTTAACACGAAATTTGTAAAATAGCGGCTAAAAAAGGTACAGTGGAATCCTGTTATAACGAGAGGGTGGGGACCGGAGCAAAATGTCCGTTATAGCAAGATTCTCGCTATCAGGGATCCAGTAATAAAATCCAGGAAAACTGTAAAGTAGGCCTAATCTATGAATCTGGTGTTCTGTTTATTTCCTTTTGCTATCTCCCCTGATGATGATTTTGTTTCAACATGACCTGTAGGTCTTACTTGATCAAAATTCGAATCAGGTTTATTTCTCTAGCGCTAGATCTAGCGATGTGGACTGGCAGCTCGGCTTTGACGATCAGAAATCAGAAGGAAAGGGCTCTGGGTTTACTCGCTCGCTGTGTTTCCCCCCACCCCACCCTGTGGTGCATTCCGTCTGCTCGCACACGTCACACATTCGCTCCATCCATCACATTGCTGTGACCTCTCCATCCCCGCATCGGAGAAGTGAGAGGCATGGTAGGACTCGATAGTCTAAACAAGGCTTACGCTGGCTTATCACGCGATGCGTTCTGCTTGTCTGCGCATGCCACACCCTCCCTACCTTTTTTTTTAATGAACTGTCTGTGTTTATATTTTATTTGTAAGTTTTTTTCATCAATGACTTTTCAAAAGTGAAGTGCCTTGGTTAGTTAGAATAGGCCTACTGGAATAATGATAGTAATTTTATATGGGTAGGGGTAGAGTTAAGGGTAGGGGTGCAGGGTTTGGATAACAGTAATCGTTGATCCCAAAACCAGATTATCATTGACTAAAAGATTTTAAAACGCCTGTGGATTTCAGATATAAATGGTTTCTTTATCCTTCTAGGTTCTGTCCCCGTCGTTTTATGCAAGAAAAATTCTTAAATTATGCAAACTGAGCCCAAAATAGTGAAATAATGCGATTCTGTTAATTTTAACAAAGAACAATAAAGGAAAATAATCAAGAATTATGCAAAAAATGATCAAATTTTGCCAAATTAGGCGGGGTGCATAAAACCACGGGGACAGTACGTCTATGTGAGACGATGGATCTAGAAAGACGCAATGTGTTGAGGTGTCAAAGTGGCACCTCAACATTTCTTCAATAGTCAAAAAGGTGTTTAAAGTAACATTGTGATCATTGTAATTTTACTCGAGTTTGTAACAGTAGCCCTCTCTCGATGGAAGCGGAAAGGGAAAAAGTTACTTTTCCTTTTCTTTATAATTATTAGAAAACTGCAGGTTGGTGGGCATAAAATTTGTAGGGGTGAGGTCTGCATCAGTTGTTTTAATCAGTATTACCATCAGACTCATTTGGTACTGAAAAAACAGTACTGTAGCAGTAACAGTTACTAACAGCGTTCACTCGCTGACTGAACTACAGTTGAGTACACTGTAATTCATTTGCCTAATAAAAAATAAGGTTCTGTTTTTCTGAATATATAGAAACATTTGATTTATTATATATTGACGATTGCTTTTGCAGTACATTGGAGGCCTACATGTATTGTGTAGTTCGCTTCAATGGTGTTTCTGTGACTCTACTAAATGTGAAATGATTTGATTGTTCTTGTGTCTTTAACAAAACATCCATTTCAACACTAGGGCTAGAGGTGTTTTTTCTGTCCCGTCAGTTACCAAATCTAAACATGTCACAGAATTTGCAAAAAGTATTTTTTTTTTTTAATGACTGCAATTTAATATGATACTGATACTTAATATGTCTTTCAAATGTTCTGACCATTTTACGTTGAAATCAATTAATTGATATTGAATTAGTGTTTAATAGTGTTATTAACAAAGTATACAAATGTTCCGTCAGTTACAATGGAATAGCCCACTACTTGTATTTAAGTTCGATAGCTTATGGCCCAATCATATTTACAGTCGACCAGTCCCCAACTGAATTAATGTTTCATAGTCAGAATGGATGTCAAAGGATTTTGCTGAAGTTGATACTACTACTACTCTGATTCTGAATAAAGCACCAATTTACAGTACAGATAAAAACTGTCCTTCCATTTTCTCCAACTTTTACTTTTATTCAGTAGTCAAGAGATTAAAAAAGGCATCGTCCAAAAATCATTTTATCTGACTTCATTTTCAACTTAACTCATAGCGTCAGAAAATTGCCCGTGAGGCATTTGTATTGTGAAGACTCTGGCTCAAGTCTACGTTAACAGTCGGAAATGAGTACTGAGTACAAAAATTGTACATCTACAAGGTCCTTGAAACATAGATTATATTTTTTAAAATGATACAGCCCAACTTCTGATTTGCAAAAAAATTTCAATTTGAATAAATTACGTCAAGTTCAGATGGCACTGTACTTGATGTAATTGGTTTGCTACTCCTTTTTCCCCTGCACATGGTAATCACACAAGACAGATCTAGACGAGGCAAGACTGGCAACAGTTTGTCTCTAGTCTCTACCACTACAAGTCAACAACTCGTCAAGATAGCAATCGGCGTTATCCCGTATACCGCCAGCCCCCCGTACAGGCAACTTCATACTTGTCCCAAGGAAAGCGGTACAACGGGGTTGACTGTATTTTACTGTCCCCGTCGTTTCATGCAAGAAAAATTCTGAAATTATGCAAACTGGGCCCAAAATAGTGAAATTATGCGATTCTGTTAATTCTAACAAAGAATGATAAAGGAAAATAATCAGAAATTATGCAAAACAAAAGATCAAATTTTGCGGGGTGCATAAAACTATTAGGCCAGATTTTATCAAAGATAATTTTTGGTAAACAAACTGTACTATTTTACTAAAGGAGGAATTCACACTGTACAAATTATGCATTTCAGAAACTTTTTTTTGTTTGAGTCAAGAAATGTAGATTAGCCCAATAACTTTCATTATAGAATTAGAATAGGAAATGTCATAACAGACAGAAACAAAGAAAGAAAAGAAGCAAGTGGTGCCCTCTGACCACATGTAACAATCTGGTCACTTGCAATTGGCAAAAAGACAGGAGACACAGGCTTTGATTTATTTCTTTATTACAAAAGACAAACAGTCATAAAATTTCCCTATGTCATTCCCAAGATGTTATATAATAATCCCCTTGCATTAAATCAATTCTTTCAACATGAGGGAAACCAAAAAAAGTCTTGACGACTCTACCCTATAAAGGCAGGCACAAGAATGGGACTGAAATGGGTACGTCTTTCTTCTGCCTTCATCAACAACATACCTGTGGACAGGTCGCCAGCGGAGATGCTCGCAGGATAGGCATGTGTTATGGTGAATGGAGGATGAACATATTGAGGCACTCGCATCATTAATTCATTTCAAGACTAAAGACTCGAGAACAGTAACTTTGCTTGCCTGAATCAAGCTCAGAATTGGGTATAGCATCATCATATGTGAGTCAGCGTGTTGGAATCGGGCTCTCGTCAAAATAACCAAAGTGAAGAAACTTGCATTCTTCTGCAGAATGTAAAAATGTAAATTTTCAGTTACCACGGACTCTTAAGCTAAGGAAATAACTAATCTTTGGCGGCCATTTTTTCCACTAATTTTACCTCAGAAAACAGGTGACCCCCACCTTCTTTCTCAAATATCTCGACTTGTATTCAAGATAAATGGATATTTTTTTCATCCAAATAAAGACAAGTGAACAAGCTTTAAGATGATACCAATAACTCTACATGCCCAAAATTTGACGAGAGCCTGATTCTACCACGCTGCCTCACATATATATGGCATGGCAATGTACATTATGAGCAAAAACACATTCTGTTCTGTAATTCAAGTGCACAGCAACCCCCCCCCCACCAAAGAAAAAAAACAAAACATGCTGGAGTCAAGGGTCACAAAGCGCTGTATACAAATTAAAATATGTTGTGGGCAGCAGACTCAAAAAACCCTTTCACTTTCATTACAGAAGCATTCTTCCATTGACTTTCAATCTGAAAAACTGCCATAAACTTGACTTGAAGAGTAAGACAGAGAGTGAGACAGAAACAAAGTAAAGAGAAGGCGCAGGAGCAACCAGTCTTCATTGCCAAAATGTAAAAAAAGAGCATTCTTTTTTTTTTTTTTTTTTTTTTTAAAATAAAAAGATGAATTGCTCCTTACCTCCATCTCTGCAAAAACAGTTAGGAGGTAATGGCACCTGATAACAACAGTTTACAATCTGCACCCTGACGTGACAACATGACATGCAAAAACTGCTCCACAAAGCACCATCGATCTCATACTTACTGCACTTCAGAACACAAAGAAGAACATAACAGCAGAGATCATACAAGTCTCTGCGTAAGAATGTAACAACAAAACAGATAATATTTTCCTATGGACTTTCTGAATTATGTAGCTCTATGAACATGGATGAAGTGTATCCTCTCTCCTCCTCTCCTGTCTTCTCCCTGTCCTGTCCTCCTCCTGTCTCCCATGTTCCAGACTACCTCTTCCCTCTCTTAGGCCCCTGTGGAGGCTTCTGTAACTGGAACGGCTGCGGTTTCCCGTTAGCGGCGGACATGTTGAGGTTGGTCCCCGCCAGGTTCAGGGCGGCAGTCGTGGATGTGCCCAGCGTGGCCGGTGTGCCGAAACATCCTGTGGCAGGACTGGAACCAAGGCCCGTGGAGGAGAAGAGGTTGCCCACTCCACCGATGCTAGCGCTGGGGCCAGTGAGGGAAGTTGCGCCAAAATCTGTAGGAAGGACAACGAGGAGAATGGTTGTGAGTTGAAGCAAAGCCTTCTGACAACATAATTGTCACATGGCACAAGAATCATCCAACACTATAATGGCCAAATACAAGTATTAGTATCATCAAACGCTAAAGTGGCCAAGTACAAGAATCATCAAACACCATAACGGTCATTTAAAAGTACAGTGACGTTAAAATCTTGCTTACCATCATGGGTCTGAGCATTGATGATGCCTAAAAGTGGATGATTGATAATAAGCTCCACCTTAATGAAAATAAAACTGAAATTCTTTTCTGTAACGTAACCCCAAGAAAAGCCATACCCCGTAAACATGGATCATATTTATTTGTACTGAAAATGAAACACTGTATTTTACTGATAAAGCAAAAAAATCTGGCAGTGTATTTTAATTCAAAATTGTCAATGGAACATCATACAAATTATTTATGTACCATTCTATTTTGTGAATTACGTAGAATTGGTCATATGTCAATGTTTTTGAATGAACACTCATTGAAAACGCTCGTATCATCTTTCTTGTTTTCACGCATCGATTATTGCAATGCTTTACTAGCTAACTTCACAAGTTACAACGTTTTCAAAATCATGCTGCTAGGCTTGTACTAAAGAAAAAGAAGAGGGATCACATTACTCCATGTTAAGAACGTTTGCATCGGCTTCCCGTGTCAGCAAGAATGTCAAATAAAATAGAAATTTTTATGTCATAAATGTGCCAATAACATAGTGATCTCATCCAAATTTATGTTCCATCTAGATCACTACTAAGATCAGGCGATCAGTATCTTCTAAGAGTTCCTAGAAAAGGGGGTAAAAAATAAGCTGAAAGATCGTTTGCCCACCTTGCTCCATCAGTTTGGAACTCTCTTCCCCAACCCTTGAGACATACAACATCTGAGTCTAAATTTTTAAAAATCTCTAAAGACACATTTAATGACATCATTTTTATGTCAGTAGATTCATGTTCAGTACAATGTTATGTAAATGACTATGTATCCATTTCTGTATTTCGCGAATTGCACTGTGCATATTATTCTATTATGTATGTGTATGTGCTCATTTCGTAACGATGTGTAAGACACACGAGACACACAGAACACCTAGGCCTACATACTCTGCCACTTACTTTGGATCGGCTTTGCAGCACCAAAGATGCCGCCTCCAAATGGCGACGCGCCAAAGCCTGATGTGTTGCCGAGCACAAGTCCAGTGACTGGGGGACCTGCATGCATCCGGGTGAGGTGATGGGGGGGGGGGATGACGAGGAGAGATTATTCATTTGTCTGCCTTTTTTTTTTTTCTGAATAGACACAAAGGTCTTGAACATCTAGCACTCACTGACATAATTGAAGGCAAACGAGGCAGGGGTAGGCCCAGAGCAACCTACTTAGAGAGCCTAAGCAGATGGTAGGGGGAAAGACCAGGGTAACGTAGCTTTTTTAAGAGCACCCGTGCAAAGGAATAATTGGTGAACCATGATCACCGATGTCAGCTGCAGATCTGGAACTTGCTGCTGATGATGATTTTTTTGGTTTAAATTTATGTGGGAGTGCCCTTATCAGTATCAACACAATTGAGATAATACAGGACACCGGCTTCCATCTCTGCCTGTTGAGGCCAACCCAGGCTGAGAAGGATACAATCAACACTCCAGCAGAAAGACGGATCTCGGATGTACTCAAGAAAAATTTCTCCCCACTTGGGAATCCAACTCCAGTTTCCTGCATTAAGCAAAGCACCTAACCAATATACCATAGATGCTAGATATTTGTCTATCAAAAGAAAAAGCAACATGGATGTCTAGCTGTTCTATTAGAGTACAGTTTGAATCTTTTGAAGAAGAGATTTTGTCCAAAAAAAATTTTCAGTTCTCCTTGAGAGTACGCTACTTGAGATGTTGCTTTGGAAAAGTTTATTTGCAGATATAAATTTTTTGTAAACAGCTCGGTGAAAAGTCATCAATATGTGCTCAAAGAAGGTCACTCCAAGATATCATCAAAAATAGACCAAAGAACTGTTTTCATCACAAAATTTTGAAAAATATCAAAAGAAATACTATTCCTAAATTGTCATTAAAAAGCTGTTGCTAAAATACTACTAAAACAGAGTCTGCTTAAATCCAACAAGTTAAATCCGAAAACAGAAATAAACCGGGAAAAAAAAAATCCATGTTCAGAGAAAAAAACAGACCAGTTTATTGGAATCAGTGAGCAGAACATATGTCAGGCAGCATGGTGGAATCAGGCTCTCGTCAATTTTTGGGCATGTAGAGTTATTGGTATCATCTTAAAGCTTGTTCATTTGTCTTTATTAGGAAGAAAAAAATATCCATTTATCTTAAATACAAGTCGAGATATTTGCGAATGAAGGAGGTGGGGGTCACCTGTTTTCAGAGGTAAAATTAGATCGAAAATGGCCGCCAAAGAATTATTTCCTTAATATTAGAGTCCGTGGTAACTGAAAATTTACATTTTTTGTGCCTTTAATCAACATTTTAAAGAAAAACCCACACAGAAATGAGTTCTTTAATGGGCATGAAAGGTGTTTAGCCAAAAAAACAAAGCCAAAAAAACCCAAAAATTTGATAAAAATTTACAAACCTGCGGAAAAATGCAAGTTTCTTCACTTTGATTATTTAGACGAGAGCCTGATTCCACAACGCTGCCTCACATATACAGCTCAACTTACAGGTGCACGACAATTCTTGGACATATGGAGTTATTGCTATCAGATTTAAACGTATCTCTCGTTAACTTATTGCTTTTATTTTTACTATTATTCTCAAATCCTGTTTTGAAAGTTGATCTTTTTTCTTTAGCATTGGCGAGCCCGAAAAGCAATACTAAATACTAGAAAACAGAGAATACGTCGTATTTTTCTGCAGAAATACGTGCCTACGAACTGGACCCCTAAAAAAATAGATCTAGTAATTTTTTTTTACGTCACCGTTGGCAGCCATGCTCTCACATTAAGACGTGTGCAAGGTGTCAACTTATGACACAAGAGGCAACAGAGCAGACATTTTTTACGGTATCGCACTCACCCTGGGGCTGCTGGGACATGGTCTGTACTATCGCCATCGCTCGTGCCGCTGCGTTAGTCGTGCCGGGGAAGGGGTTGGGACCCGCCAAATCTGACAATTCTGTTTTCTTCGCTACTTTCGGGGCCGGTGTGGGCTTGTGGAAGATGTTCTTGGCATCGCCGTGGAAAACTCTGTGGTACGTTAAGTACTGATCTTTCTGGGACTGTGGAACGACAGGTATGAAAGTGAACAATCCAAACGAATCTGAAGATTTAAAAAAACTTGAACCCAAGTCATAATCTGGGTCAATGACTTTTTATCCCTCATAGTCAAAGGAAGAACAGTATAGTAGTTGTATTTTATTTGAAGCTGCCAAATTTTGAGTTTTAGATTCCCATGCTATGAAAAATATTATACAAATGTTGTATACTAATTTTTCTCGCAAATCTTGAAAACAACAACACAAAATTGTAAGTCTTACCAGCAGAAAGCCAGGCTCATCTTTCAAACAAACAGACAGATAACCAAAATGACTTCAAAAGAAGTTTCCTATCATATGCAAAAAGGCTGCTATAGAAATGAACATTAATGTATGTTGTTGTTGATTTTAAATCTGTACACATTATATGGAAATATACGAATATATCTAAACAATGTTCAAAATCTGAGATAAATTCAAGGGATATCATAATATCATTGGATGTACATGTTGCATTATTGTCTCATATATTTAAATTCTTTTTATGAAAGTAACATACAATAAAAAATGCTATGATATCACTACATGTGTTCATACCATTCCTGTAAAGCCACAGAAAACTCCTCATTGCGATAGTATTATCTACCTCATCTTCCGTGTCAATGTGACGGCATATACAGACAGTAGCAAATGAGCATGAACCAAGAGGAACAGCTTGAGCAGTAAATAAGTAAGACTAGCTGTACATCATTGCATATTGACCCTATGTAATATCCCCTTCCTCTTTCCCCAAACCTCACACTTCGACATACTCATATACCACTCCCCCCCCCCTTCTGTACCTTATCTTGGCATGGTATATATAGATAAGAATCATGTGCGACCCGCCACACACCTGCATCACACCTTGACTAGTTTTCACATGTAGGCCTATCACCCATAGCTGCCACTCAGGAATTTCAAAAAAGGAGGAAATTCATGCGAAGGCTGACGTGCGCTCTCCAAAGGCCGGAGTAAAACCAGTGAGATCCAGAGGCAATATATGTAATATATACTGGAAAATCTAGTCTATGGTTTTGGAAGGGAAAACTGTCATATTTGTTAACCATAGACAACTGAATTAAAATGTATTTGAACCCCCCCCCAAAAAAAACAACAACAAAGGCACTAGATCTAAGTTGACTAACAAGCATTTGAGTCAATTTGACCCAGTTTGGACTAGGTGACTAAAAATCCAGTGTTTGTGTTGCCAGCTGATGTCTTATAAAAAGATCTCTTTCACTTTAAACGTGTACATCGATGTAGAGCGCGCGCAGTATTGGATCAAGGAGGCAACACCTTTGCCGCTGTACTGAGCACCCCTGTACAATTGCGGTCCCGTTTGCACTTAATGCAGTACTAGTCAGTAGTAGTGCCCCTGTAGTGTGTAGATCTAAACTGAATTAAAATTATACCCTAGGCCATCTAATCTAAATCTAGAATCTAGATATCTAAATATGTGTAAATCTAGATTACATCTCTAGAGATAGATTATCTAGATCTAGATTCACTTCAACAACCACAATAGCCGTCATGTAAACAAACGGGACCGCAATTGTACAGGAGTGCCGCGATTTCTTTATCGCACCAAACGCTAAGTGCAGCAAGCGGCTTGTTCAATTTTCTAATGAACTTTTCAAGTCGCACACCGGCTGCTTCTTCCTCATTCCAACTCCTTTTATTTTTGCATTCTGCATCAATTTCTCTCGAATTTCCGCCGTTTTCAAGGACAACTCGGTGCGCCAACGTCCCGATGCCCGATCGACACTTTGACTTTGTTGCTCCACGATAAACAATGTGAAACTAGCGCTAGGCCTAGAAGAACGGAAGTAGAAAGCTACGGGCGGACATGCGCAAGCTGCGTTTTCGTGTCTCTCCCGGTTCGGTGTTTTCCGCGTGTAAAAAAAAAAGTATCGCAACTTGCGACCGAGAGCGGTCCAGCGGAGGAAGGAGGAAAGTAGCGGGAAAAGCTAGATGAAGCGGAGTTTCCGCCATTTAGCGGGAAAGTGACAGCTATGATCACCCCTTATGTAATTCCTTGACCTGTTCATTTACTACCCCCACATCTTACCTTGACCTGTTCATGTATCACCCCCTCACATCTTACCCTGACCTCTTCATCCCTCACGGTTTACCTTTTTTGACCTGTTCAAGTATCACCCCCTCACAACTTACCTTTCTTGACCAATTCATGTATCACTCCCTCACGATATACCTTTCTCTACCTGTTCATGTATCACCCCCTCACATCTTACCCTGACCTCTTCATCCCTCACGATTTACCTTTTTTGACCTGTTCAAGTATCACCCCCTCACAACTTACCTTTCTTGACCAATTCATGTATCACTCCCTCATGATTTACCTTCCTCTACCTGTTCATGTACCACCTCCTCACGATATAGCTTTCTCTACCTGTTCATGTATCACCCCCTTCATGATTTACCTTTCTTGACCTATTCATGCATCACCCCCTCACGATTTACCTTTCTGTACCTGTTCATGTATCACCCCACTCACAACTTACCTTGACCTGTTCATGTATCGCCTGTAGCTGAGCGGCCAGAGAGATGAACGTCTCGTGCAACTTTTTCAGCAGTGCCAGCATCTCTAAGGAGTACACACACACACAAAGACACAATATTTGTTTGTTTGTCTGAGTAAATAGAAGCACATCGGCTCAATAGAGGTCATTTAGAGATGGGGGAAAAAAGTAAGACGGACAGACAGACAGACAGAAACAACAGGGAGGGAAAGTAAAGAAGTAGGACCTACCAGTGGCGCCCTCTAACCACCCACACACACATTGTGACAGTGCCACGCTGACACACAAACAATAAAAAAGTCACACTGACAGACAAAAAAACAATAAAAATGTCGAACTGACAGACACACACACACAATGACAGTCACACACACACACACACACACACACAATTGCAGTATGACATTGTTATATACCCCTGCACCTAGTGCCCCAGTGATGTGCACACATGTAGTGTGACTCCAACATACACCAAGGTGTGTGTGTGTGTGAGTGTGTGAGTGTGTGTGTGAGTGTGTGTGTGAGTGTGAGTGTGTGTGTGTGTGTGTTTTTTATTTTAAAAATTATAGTAGAGTTTTTATGGCGCTCGCAACAGCATAAGGTCATATGAGCGCCAACGGATGGATGTCAACGGAGAAGTCCTTACAGGGAATCAGACTTTTGCTTACCTCTCTAGCTTCAATAGCACAAAGTCTGCTTTGACTATGAAGGCACCCCAGAAATAGCGGGTCACAAGGGCGTGAGAAACATACAAAAGAAGTAGAGGAACATGTCGATAGTAGGGATTGGGAAAGAAAAAGCAGCAATTCCCTGTTGTAGTTCAGGCATAGTCATGAGCATGACGTTGAATCAGCCCATTTACAATTCTACTGTGCATAAGAACAAGAAACATCCCCCCTTTGGGAATGGCCTAAAGACACTTCAGTCAGTAGCACCCCGGGGGGTTGCGAGTGTATGTGTGTGAGAGAGAGAGAGAGGAGAGAGAGCGCATGAGTGCGTGTATACCACTCACCAGAGGGCATGCATGAAAGGATCTGTGTGAGTGAGTGTGTGTGAGTGCGTGCGTGTGTGTTTGTATGTGTGAAAGTGTGTGTGTATGTGTGTATGAATGCGAGTGTTCAAACATGTACATGCATATAATCCATCACACAGAGGGTGTGCACCACTCACCAGAGGGTGTGTGCGAGCTGGTCTGGTGCAGAGCTGCCAGGTGGCTGTCCAGGGTCTCTATCTGCTGCCTGTAGGTGACCATGCGCTCCTCAAACTCCTGCACCAGGTGGTGGAAATACCTGGAACCCAGAGAGACAGAAATTAACAGACAGACACTCAAACGTAACCTCCTTTTCGTTTTTATTCTCTTTTAGAATGAGTTTTACAGCACTTGTAGCACAATTAGATAGGGTCACGTAAGTTGTAGTTTTACTAAAAGTTTTACAGCACTTGCAACACAATAAGGTCAAATAAGTGCCGAAGATTACAGGAGTTACAAGAGAGTAACAAACACAAAAAAGGAGGAGAGATCAGGACTATAGATGTTCGATAGGAAAGAAGGAGCAAACCACCCACATGTAGGTCATGTAAGTGTGGAAGATTAGAGGGGCGATACAAGAAAGTAACGTACAAATAAAAGAATGAGAACAGATAACGACGATAGATTTTGACAGGAAAGAAAGAGCAAACCAAACCACCAGAGCATCTACCAACCACCCATGTACAGATGCAGAGAAACACAAATATACAATACAGACAGACGCACACCATCAGCCACTGACATAAACACATACACAATGGGCACTCTGCTCTCACGCTGACAAACAGATATCTTGGGCAAGCGAATAGACACACACATATACTAACTCTCATCACGACACAGACAGACAGAGAGATAGACAGAGAGACAGACAGACAGACAGAGACAGACAGACAGACAGACAGACAGACAGACTCACTCTGTGGGTGCTGTGTTCTCATACGGCAGCCCTGCTGGGATCTCCTTCGTTCTCTGAGACATTTCTGCATTCTTCAGTTTCTGCAGAGGCATAACAAGAAGAGACTTACTTACAGTGGTTGGCGGGTGCTCTGGTATGGTTCGCTCCTTCTTTCTATCAAACATCTATCCACATTATCCCTCCTTCTTCTCTTTGTATGTTCCTCTCTAGTAAGTAACACCTCACTAATCTTCTGCACTTTCATGACCTATATGTTTTGCAAGTACCATAAAAATTTTACTTAAACTAAAGACTAAAAGACTTATAATCAGCCGACAAAAGAGGGAAAGCACCATAGTTCCTTTGGCATCTACAACTCATGGCCTCGCATTATCACCTCATACCTGCCAATCACCCCATGACCAAATTCCCTCTAAAAATGAAGAGTTTGGGGAGGGAAAAACAAATCGGGAGTCTCCAGAATCCCAGAAGATTAAAATTACCCAACAAACCAACCATGGCAAATGAGCGTGTATTGCAAATAAACAGAAACATAAATTTTTATTTTCACACTATTTATACGATAAGCCATATACATATAACCCGACAGAAAAGGATTTCAGGGGGGGGGGGGGATTTTACACAAATCCGATCGGGGTTCTTCAACATTAAAAAAAAAAAAAAGAAAAGAAAAACTATTTTTATAGGAGTACTTGGCAGATTTGTCATCCGCAACACACTACTTCAATATCTTTTAAAGTGATCTCTTAATTTCTTTTCAAAATGCTGTTTATCTTTAATAACATAACTTTCATAATTGTTGAAATTGTTTTCAATTCATTTCACCATTTCATCATTTACAACAACACACTGACCTCTGATATTTTTGTTAATTTCAACGTTAAAAATTCACAAGATTTTTTTAATTTTTTTTTTTTGGGGGGACTGTGCATAAGAACAAGAAACATCCCCCCTTTGGGAATGGCCTAAAGACACTTCAGTCAGTAGCACCCCGGGGGGTTGCGAGTGTATGTGTGTG